ACTCCATTGTTTTGGAGAACAAGGAGGTGATGGCGATAGGCCGGTAGTTGGACGGGTCTTGGGGTCTCCTTTTTTAGGGATCGGGTGGACGAAAGCCGTCTTCCATGATTTTGGTACTACGCCTAGGGAGTAGGAGTACCGGAAAAGACGCGTTAAAACCGGTGCCAACTCACACACAGCACACGTCCTCAGCACAATTGGGGGGATTCCGTCAGGCCCACTCGACTTGTGGATGTCCAGGGAGAGGAGTACTTTGCGAACCGAGCGCTGTGTCAACTGCACTTCCGGCATGGAGCACTCACACCACGGGATGGTCGGCGGCGTACTTCCCCCGTCATCGAGAGTCGAGTTAGACGCAAAGAAAGAGCCTAGAAGATCGGCTTTCTCCTTTGCGGTATGGGCCAGTGAGTCGTCCTCCCTGTGCAGAGATGGAAGAGATGGCTGACAGAAACTCCCGGACAGCCTTGGCGAGAGACCAGAATGCAGAGTTCCAGAAGGAAGGCGAACTAGTTTCTCAACTTTTGGTTTTGAAGGACCTAGAGGCGGAATTATACTTCTTTTTTAGAGCGCTGGTATTTACATCTCGGGACGCTGATGCGTCAGCCCAGGCCTGGCAGCACTCCTGCTTATAGCATGATGCTATTTTACAGGAGCGACCAAACCATGGCTGAGATCTGCCTCCAATAGGCACCACAGAGGAAGGAATAAAAAGTTCCATACCCTGAAGTACCACATCAGCGACAGAATCCACAACAACGTTGGGATCGTCCGGCGAGAAGCAAACCCGCCCCCAAGGGTAGGATGCAAAGAAAGACCGCATCCCATCCCAATCGGCTGACCTATAGTACCAAACACGGCGGCAGCCTGCATAATGCAACCGCGATTTCAGCGTGAGTGGACAAGACACACTCCGGACAAGACAATGGTCCGAGGCGCCTAAAGGGGCGTCGACGGAAATCTGATATCCGTCCGGGTGAGAGGTCAGCAGAAGGTCCAACAGGGAAGGTGCATGATCCTCCACATCTGGAATCCGCGTAGGCGAAGTAACCAGTTGTGTCAGACCATATGCCAAGGCAAAATCATGAACAGATCCCCCCCGCATGATCGGTTAAACGTGAACCAAGGCATTCGACGTGATGGGCGTTAAAGTCGCCGAGGATCACGATCTCTGCGGAGGGGATGTGCTATAGCAACGAATCTGCAGCCATTTGGACGTGGTCGAAGAGTCGGTCTGTTTCGGCATTAGCGCTATGGGACCTATAAAGGCACCCGTAGACGCGCGGATGGTCGTCGCTGTCTACGCGTAGCCAAAGGATGGACAGGTCCGAACCTTCAATTCTGCCGAGGCGTCGAGAACAGATGTCCTCTCTGACGTAAACGCAAACTCCAGCCCGAGGCACAAAAGAGTGTTCCAGTTTGTACCCCGGGCAGGATAGATACGAAACATCAGCCGGAGAGGACACCTGCGTCTCGGTAAGAAAGAGCAGAGCCGGCCTCGCCGTCTCGAGATGGTAGTGGACGGCGTTTAGGTTAGAGTGAAGTCCCCTGATATTGCAGAAATTCCCGGACAGCGTGGCAGGGGTCGCCTTGGTCTTGTTGCTCCGTTTGCCCCGAGCAGTTGTAGTCTTGAGCGGTATTTTGCCCCACCCCAGAATACGCGGGGCAGCCTGAGCAACCACGCTCAGAAGTGGAGAAACATGGTCGTGGATGCTCAGCGAGGGATTCTCCAGGGGTGCTGGTACCCTCCTGGGGTAGTCTATCATGTAATTCCGCTACCATCTTGATGGGGGGGGGGGGATTTGGCCCTGAATACGCTTATGTTTGTTCAGTTGATCTTCAGTTAAATCAAGATAGCTAGCGCCCGCATGATCGAGAGTATTTTGACATGTTTTAATTGATATTTTTTATTATTTTAACTGTCGTAAGCTCGTAAGTGATCGTTTAGTTAGAAGTAAACCACACACTTTTTTATATGATAATAGTAACGAACGAGCACACAGTCTACTTGACGGTTAGTGGTTGCTGTGGTCCATAAACATCTACATCTATCCTCGATTACGAACGAAAATGCAGTTGCGTTTTCATCCTTGAGGAATGTCTCGTTTCCAGTAAAAAAGGTCTCCGGTTCTCTACAATCACCACACGAAACACAGCTTACGCTACTATTTTACGATGGTATTCTGTGATAGCGTGGTCCTTCCCCGTTCAAGCCGACCCATTCGTGCTATCGATAATATAGCTGCAACGTGGCTCTATCCCTTTTCTAACCGTTCATTAGAAAAACCTGAATAATAATCATGAGATATATAGGTTTTGTTCACTTCAGCATTATTCTAACTACCTATTTAAAATCGAGTATGACCTCATTCATTAAGTAATAAATAATATATAATAATAAATAAATAATAGGTTTTAAATTATAATTTTGGGTAATAATATATAGGAATATAAAGAAATGTTGATCGACAGTTTTTATTGTAGGTTTTATTTGCACTTTATTTGAAACAAATTCAAATTGTGATTCAGATAAAAAATATGCAACAGTTCATTAAAAATGCAAAAGACCGATTACAATCGATTGGGCATCTCTAATCACGTCATCCCGTGGGTGTCGAAGAGTCGACGGAGGGACACTGGAACAGGAGATGGGCAGCAGCACTATCCCAGTAAAAGTCAAAGTAATAAAAAACTGCGGTTGTGACCCGCCTGCCAAGCGAGGTAACTATGGAGAAAATCTAAACTATGAGCTATCTATCTGGGAGGCTAATGTTCACCAGTGGACTTTTATAAGTTGTAATGGATGGATGAATGGGTGAATGGTGATGATGATGATGTGGTCGATGACAAGATTTTTCTAAAAAGAATTTTATTTTCAAATTTAACAAGAATATATTAGGCATTATAATTAATTTCAGTCTGCGGACTTCATTCCCCAGGGTTATTAATTTATTCCTTTATGGGAATAATAAAGGCAATAAATTCAGCCGCCTAAACCCCTTTTCCATTTTAAAGTGGAACAAGAGTGTCTTTGAACACCGCTAGTGTAATATTTTTCATTAGAACTGTAAGGGGTATGGGCACCATCAAAGGCTTTTTTGAACGTAATTTTTCTGATATATTACAAGGAATTTATTTACATAGAAAAGACTTTCTTTAAAAATAATGTTACGCATCCAAAGACTTACGTTACAGAATATTACTATGAAAAGAGTAGTCAAGTGTTAATTGTTTAAACAATATACTCTAAAAATGGTAATTTCTTACAGATATTATTAGGTCTATAAAAAATTATATTTATCTTTAAATATTTCTTTCATACATCGTATTGCACTGCTACCAGTGCAGGAAAAAGAGATTATCTTGTGACACGATTCTGGTAGCTGTCATCACATTCTATGAAGTCTACACACAAGTGTGTGTAGACTTAATAGAATGTGACACACACACACACACGACGGTGTGTCATTGTTTCACACGAACTATTTCGGGCGTCTTTCGAACCTTACACAAAAAACTATTAGATCTTCACACTTACATGTTGTATACCTAATTTTATATCCTAAAATTTATGTGTAAAATTAGTTCTATAGTTATTTATATAGATATTTCTATAGTAATAGTTGTTGAGTTAATTTATTATTAAAAACGGTTTTTCTAAAATTAAAGCTATAGCACCAAAAACATAAATGTTAAAAGGGGACCAAGTTCGGTGCGAACGACGTTCAAGGTTGTGAAGCTTTGACGATAAAAGAGTTAACGCACACCAATCTCCGTAGTTTTGTCATATCATCATCAAACACAGTATCTGCACTTTTCTGTTTTTAGTGCGATTAACCATTGATTAAAAAAGAAAGCTTATTAAAGTTATCGATCTTTGTTTTAATGAAATTTGTAAACGAGCTCAATTTTCTATTAAAATATTTAAGCAATTTTCGTCATGAATTTTTTTGTTTCCATTGAAAGAAATACTAACAATATGCCGTCCTCCAGACTGAATTTAGGTCACGGTGGAGCCAGTCTCAACGGAGGCGAGCCATCTGCGTTGGACAGGATTATAAACCACGATTGTGCACCTATGCACATAGGTCAACACTCCATTCGCTTACAATTGAAGTCCAATGGGACGGCAACCCAACACGACCGGAGATCAGGCGCCACACCAACGGCTTTCTGAGACACGGGAATTGAGCACAGCAAACTTTGTGATTCATTTACTAAATTAGAATATATTTTGTAAACGCTGCATTAATGATTTCATGACAAACGAGAAACAATCGCACATTTTGTGGCCTCAAGATACGCGATCGTGTTTATGACAAGGGATGATTCAATTATCTTCCTGTTAGCGCGACGTATGGCTCTTTTTAGTATATAATTGAGGGTTACTGGGATATTTTTATTATATTATTTCCTTCAAATAGTTAAAGACTAACGGTTCGTAGTAATATTTTTGTATTCCAATAGGAAACCATCTCGGTGGCTGTTTGTCAACATGTTTGACTGTCTATCTGTCACAGCCTCGTTCCTTATAGATTAGGGAGATAATTTACAAGTTATAATATTCAATTACTGTATAATACAGAAATGAAGCTAAAATTCAAATTTGAGACAAAAGTATAAATCTATAGGATAGGCCTACATGAGAATGAGATATAATCTACATTAATAATGTAATAAAGCGGAAGAAGGTTTTTGTTTATTTAAAGACGCTAATCTCTGGAACTACCACTTCAAATTGTTAAAAATATTTTTTTATACGATATCCATATTCAAAAGAAATAGTATAGGTTATATAGCGTTAAGGATGATTCACGCTACAACGCAACGTGGCGCGGCCGGGTCGTGCCCCGGCCGGGACACGTCCACCGTGCGTTGGCCGGGCCAGTCATTCATGTTACACCGGGCTGTCTGCACGACCGTGGCTTATGCACGACTCTGTGTTATGTGGTTTTTCTCAGCTAGTGATTTCATCTGTCGATAGATTTCACGCTGACGTAAATATGCAATTTTCACAATTTGAATTGGCAGCTATTGCAATTGCCATTGATGATGAAATATTGGAAAAACGATGCGAAACTACTATAAGAAGTTGGGGTGTACATCCATCCTGGAGAAAGCGAGAAGCAGAAGGAGAATTTGCTTTACTTTACAAAGAATTAATAGATCATGAGAGCAAGTTTTATGGTTATTTTAGAATGTCTAAAGAATGCTTTACTTTTTCACTTGAAAAAGTAAAACCAGACCTAACCAAAAAAATTATAAAATTTCAAAAGCCTATATCTCCCATCGAACGATTAGCAGTGTGCATCAGGTAAATTTATTAATTGATATGCACTAAATCACATAGTATTTAAAAATGTAGTATTTAAAAATTGACCCCTCTCACAACCATCTATCAGAGCTTGTTGAGGGGATTTTTTCTAAATACTTCATTTTCAATTTTTCTATAATCAAAATTGCATTGTGAATGAAAAAAAGTAAAAATTTAAATAATTCGCATAGTATTTATTCATTTCATTACTCTGCCGTGAACTCTGAAAATAAAGTAGACAAATTATTAGATTCCAAAGGCGTAAGTTCCGAAGGCGAAGGTTCCGGAGTAGGCGTTGATTCCGGTGTTGGCGTTGGTGTAGTCATCGGAACCGGTGCATACACCGACCTTGAATTAGTAGACGACACCGACGTTGTTCCACTCATTGGAGATGTGTAAGAAGAAGGCTCTGATGACAATTGCTCCCACTCCAAATCTTGTACTACTGCAAATATTCTTCCTTTTGCAAGATCCTGATAGTAAGGGGAAAAAGATTTTATGGTGGCTGCCAAACCGTTGAAGAAAGCATCAATAGGATGAATGTCTTGTGTGTTGGACTTTTCTTTATTTTTTTAGAATGTATTCCATTAATGCGCTTGACGCAGAGGACTGGGATTGTGGCACTATACTACGGCGATTGTGTGTAGTTGCAACGGTTGCATTGCGATTGCGGTTGCCGGAACGAGTGAATTGTGCAGTTGATGGGGGATACGGATTCGGATCAGCAGGTGGCGTAAAATTTGGTTCACTAATAGCTGGTGAGCGATCTTCCTGCTGCTGCTGTTCATCGGTGTTAATTGTTTCGTTGGGCGTAGTAACTGGCGAAGTAACCGTTTCGTTTTGCGTCTCTTCGTTCTCAGACTCGATACTTGTTATTGTATTTCGATCCTGTATATGAGGCAGTAAAAAATTCAAGCTCTCTTCATATTTATATTTTTTTATAGCCACAGCACCCTGTCCACTCTTGGTTTTACGTTTGTTTCTATGTTTTTTGAACTGGTCCCGTATGTTTGCCCACCTTTTTTTACATACATCATCTGCAAAAAGATAGTATAGAATGAACAAGTTAAGTAATTTTCTTTACAACCTGTATAAATGGTACCGTTAATACGTAATAGCTCACTGTAGTACACAGATACCGCGAAATTATACCATTATTATTTTTTCAGGTTCCTGGCTACTGGAGATTCGTTTAAAACCAGTTCGTACAGTTTTCGATTGGGGCATTCAACTGTGACCGAAATTGTACATAGCACATGTCGATCTATCGTTAAAAGATTTAAGAAAGACGTTATACCAGAACCAACAGAAGAAATGTGGCGTAAAATTGCCGAAGATTTTGAAAACCTTAGAGGTTTTCCAAATTGTATTGGCGCATTGGATGGAAAACATTTTGTTATTGAATCCTCAGCCAATAGTGGTTCCATATATTTTAATTATAAACACACATTCTCAATTGTTTTATTGGCGTTAGTGGACGCATGCTACAAATTTATTGCAGTTGATGTTGGCGCTTACGGACGAAACAGTGATGGTGGCATTTTTGGACAATGTAATCTTGGAAAACGTTTAGAAAATGGGACGCTTCATGTACCTATTGGTAAAAATTTACCCGGTTCCTCTACGTTTGCACCATATGTAATAGTTGGTGATGAAGCGTTTCCTTTGAAAACATACTTAATGCGACCGTAGCAACAGGTGACGCTAATAAAACGAATTTCAATCATAGACTGTCATTGGCCCGGCGACTAGTCGAAAATGCTTTTGGTATTTTGACACAAAGATTTAGAATATTTCAAAGAAGAATGATACTTGCTCCAGAAAATGTTGATTACATTATTCTATCTACATGCGTACTGCATAATTTTTTATGCGAACAAAAAGATTACACAGGGCTTATCAATCATAGTGCACAAAATGCGCAACCACATTTATTAAATCCATTGAGCGTTCAACCAGGAAGACCGGCTAATGATGCATTTGCGGTAAGAGAAACGTTTAAAGAATATTTAGCGTCAACAGCGGGACGTAATTTTATAGGACAACAGTATCAAGAATAAATACATACTTACACTATAATATACTTCTTATAATTTACCTAACATATTCTAAAATACCTACTAAAAACCGATAATCCCACTCACATGTACTTACATGTTGTCGTAAAGTAATTAGTGACACTTGAATAACTATTATAAATGTAAATTGAAATAAAAGTTACAACTTACCAGATTGTTTTATTTCGTCCGAAATGGTTTTCCAAATAATATTTTTGTATTTGTTATCTAAATACTTAGGATGGCTCATATCGTAAATCGCAGGGTACTTGCGCACACATTCTAATAATTTTTCATCGTCCATTTTGCTGTTGAGCTGCTCACTTCACTAAGATTTGACGTTGTTGTTGTCCCCGGCGTTTGATGTTCATGTTACAACGTGTCGGGGCCGGACCGTGCCGGAGCCGGGAAACAATACCCACCGACATTTCAACGCCGTGCCCCGGCCGAGTCCCGGCGGCGTACGGCCGGGGCACGGCCGGGCCACGGTCAGGCATGAATCGCTTCATACAAAAAGTACACCATAATGTTTGACCGTGCCCCGGCCGGGGCACGGCCCGGCCGCGCCACGTTGTAGCGTGAATCATCCTTTAGGCTACACTTCTCAACTAGCCTTAAATATTGATTTTTGTTTAGCAACTCGAAAGTGAAAGCGCCCCCGAACTGCTTTATCCGCGTTCATACGTAAATATTATGTTCTATAAAATATATATCCGCAAAACCATACGCCTATTTCTCATACTTAAGCCACAATAAGGTATTTTGTGTTAAAAAAATATTCAAAATTAAAAAGTGATTTATGAGCGTTTTTATGAGGCATAGCATATTAATCCTACGAACGAAAGTTACTTCGTCATCAACACAATTTTACGAAGACAAATTTTGCTTTTTGTAGCATGTAAATAACATGCTACAAAAAGCAAAGTTTGTCTTGGACACGCCAGTTTAAGGGATAAAGAAAAATTTAAATATTTCAACACTCCGCTCGGCGAGCGAACGACTTCAGCCGATAAGAACCGAGAGAAACCAATAATGAACGCCTCTAATCTCTCTAAATGAGTTTGTCATGTCGCGCGGTTCAGACGCATGATATACGCCTGTGATATACGCCTGTGATACCGCGAGGAACAGCTAGTTCAGTACAGTGTTTTGTATTATCTCGGTCTCCTCTGTGTGTGGCGCGATTAAAATTAGGTCATTTAGTGTCTAGTTTATGGACCACCTTCGAAGTCAATCAATTTTTATGAGATGAAATGATTTTTTCTTTAGAATGAAATAGACATCGCTATTACAAATCAATAATTGTAGTCGTAAGAAATGTCTAGAAATGAGAATTGTAACATTTATTTGTTATAAAATTAAATTTTTCTCTTATATTTTATGCCGCACTTATGTTTAAAAATTATCTTAATGATAATGAAGTATTGTGAAATAATTTTGTTTTATATTTGATTTCTTTTGAAGGTTTCACTTCTAATGCGTGTGAACTGCACACATATTTTGTTTGTTTAATGCTTAAAATTATTAGCGTGAAAGGTATCTCCAAAAAAAGCTGCTTAAAATCTGAAAAATATCACGAATGTGGGTCGGTCCATTGCAAGATACTGTTATGATAAAAGGCAATATTCGTCGCAATTGCTCTACCCAGTAAAGGCAGTCAAACGATGTTCCAGTGCGCAAATTAGGTCATCGTTCGTTACAGATTGGGCCCAAATACTTAAACGCTGCTCAACTTTATGACGCCGTTAAGCCTTGTGCTATCTTTATCACTTTTAGTCAAAGTGATTGTGATACTACGAGACTTAAGGATATCAGTAAGACTTAAGGATATTGAGTAAATTTGAGTATTTGGCCATTGTCGTAATAATATCTACAGAGATTGACTTTAATATCGTCACACTAGTATATTCTGCTGTAATGTAGTTGTTTTATACACATAAAGGTACAATTCAAGTCGTCACGACACATCTGGTTTCTATGTAGTTCTATGAAATACGTTCCGTAGCCAGCGACACGTCGTTTGCCTAGCGGCGACACTGTAGCCCAACCGCAGATCAGTAGTGCCGCCAACGCTTGAGCGAAAACATGTTGAATTTTTCTTAAAAAATGAGTTTAACCGATTTGGAGGAACGGAAACTGATAAACCAGGTGGCCCAATATTCCGCACTGTACGTTCCCTCACTTCCTCTGCATTTTAACATAGGACGTGTGTCTTTTCGTCTTTTCTCTTTATACTTTAATTATAATAAAAGCAAGTCATCATTGCTAATTTCAAAGAACGTCAGATATCATGTCCCACTGAACACTCGGAACAGACTGGACACGGGCTGCCATCTGCGCAGTCGTGTTCGGAATCATGACTGCAGCGACATGACGCCACGACATGTGGCAGCGACATGTTGCGGCGACACGTCGCCTACCGCTGCTACCTGCAGTCGGCTACGGAATTGCTCTTATTTTTCTATTTAAATTATTATGCTATACTATAACAAATAACAAAACCTTTTTTACCTGCGGCTCTGCAACTTACCTCGGAAGAGCTGCATACTGTCAGGAATTGCAAAGGATAATAGACAAGCTTACAATGACGGTACGAGATTCGAGATATTATATCAATTACCACTTATTTCTCTACAACAACACTTGATATTCCACCTATTATAACACCTTCCACCAGGTGATAAAGCGTGCTCACTGAGCGTAATGTAAAATAAAACAATAAATAAAAAATTACGCAGTTCACAATGACCTGTCCCAGACTCTTCGTTATCTACCGTGCCAACCAAATACAAAGTCTGATGTCCTACTATTTTCATTTTTTTTAGCCGACGTCAAAAAAATAGGTAGCTTACAATTCGACTGTACTTATCTTTTTTGCTATGTATGAACACATGAAGACATGTGCTCCGGAGTTGGCACTGGTCCTAACGCGTCTTTTCCGGTAATCCTACTCCCTAGGCGCAGTCCCGAAATCATGTAAGACAGTCTTCTTGCACCCGATCCCTAAAAAAGGTAACCGCTTTAATCCGTCCAACGATAGGCCTATCGCCATCACCTCCTTATTTTCTAAAATAATGGAATCTATTATTAACTTATGTTCTTGTGTTGTACAGCCTCATGCGGTACCTTGAGGATAACCAGCTGATTAGTGACAGCCAGTACGTTTTCCGTCGCGCTTGCTCGGCTGGTGATCTTCTAGGTTACCTAACTCATAAATGGGTGAAAGCAGTAGAGTCCAAGGAGGCGGTGGTCGTTAGTTTGGACAAATCAAAGGCCTTCGATCGGATTTGGCACAAAGCGCTTCTTATGAAGCTTCCTTCCTTTGGGCTTCCCGAGCAATTG